TCCAAATACATGTATTTTTTCATTGAACTTAAACCACTCAGTCCACAATGTGGCCATAACAAATCATTAAATATGTGTTCATTTCTGTTGTAACACATTCTTTTTCAAATAAATATGAATCATTATGTTCAGTTTGACATTATTTGACTCCATATTGGGATGGCAGCTGGGGTGGCCAGGCAAATTTTTAGGCCAGACCTCTAGACCTGCCCCTGGTAGTTTGCTGCTCAGCAGGTAGTGTACAGTGGCTTTTTGCAGCTTTTTCACTGAAAACAGCTGTATAGATTAACAAGGTCAATAAGATGATTTACTTTATTAATCCCCAGTGGGGAAATTCATTTTTTCACTCGATCTTTTACACATAGGCCTGACATACAGTCATACACACACACACACACACACACACAAACAGGGCTTATGGATGTGCAAATGTGGAGAACTGGAGGAGTAATGGGCTGCCACATAATGGTGCCCCAATGCTCAAAGGCACCTCAGCAGTAACCAGGAGGTTAACTGGCACCTCCCCAGCTACACTCCATACTGTGGTCCATTGCTGAAGTGGCCACCCTCTGGTTCCCAAGCGAAGTCCCTATGGACTGAGCTACTGCCGCCCCTTAATAAGAGCGGAAATTATTTGTGCACTACATTACTCGGAGTAGTCCCCAGTGGTCGCTGTGGTCACAGTCTTACATGTAGAAATAAACTGTGCACAATATAGCCTACCTTAGCCTCAGAGCATATTGGGAATCCCTTATTTACGGTACCATGGTAACCGTGGAGCCCAAACGTGAAACATAATCGCAATGCAGGGGTGACATAGGTAGCACCTGTATATGCTCCTGACGTTATATCACTTCTGATGACATAATAAGCTCTTAGCAAGAGTGAACAACACTGATGGACTTACAGATACAATTGCTGTCAATGGTAGTCTTCTTCAGGAAATCATTAGATTTTAATTGGCCACATGGCTGTGTACAGAGTTACATAAATTGTTGTGTGTGTAAATGTTGTATCAGCACACTAACTGTGTGTACACTATGTGTCAAGAAGGTTTTTATGAATACTTTTCCCATATAGACAATAGATTTAAATTAAAATTCATCTTAGCAGTCTCCCTTGGATCCTGATTATTTCATATAGGACTATCAGTCTGAGCTGGGGGATGAATATATTTCTCATGATAGGAGCTTGCTGCTCTACGCACAGGATGTTAATATGATGTAAAACTGCTCATATGAAAAGCTACATACATACTATATACCATACAGTCAATGGTATATACATGTAAGATAAACATACTACGTATGTATTGATGGATTAGACTTTTTGTCAGAACTGCGTTTTGACTCATGCAGTGGTGTAAGGTAGTTACAGTGGGCCCCAGTGCATGCTACTATGACAGGCCCTAGCTACCATATATTGTGTCAACATTGTCAAATAGAGACTCAACATTGGATAACATCAATCATCATTGCATATCTGTATGCAATAAAAGGGCCTTTTTGAGGGGATATCGAGAATATTACACCATTTTCAACTGTAAGTTCTTCTTTGAAAAGAACAAAACGTTTTTACCATTTTGAAATTACACAGTTTTTTCAAATTAATTTGGGTCTGACCCTAGCTCAGCTACAACACAGGTACTCAAACAGAAAGTATTTGTAGAGGCTGCTTTATTAATCACAAAGATTTGTATCCTTTCATCTCCCTTAAAATTAGTTTCTTTTGACTTGTTTCGTATAGACTTATCAATTGAAGACCTTTCTCAGCTACACACACAGCCAAACAGGTTATAAAGCACAGCCAAGAAAATATTACAATACATCATAATGAAAATGCAATATTTCAGGACTATTTCTACCACATTTAATTTTTCTCATGGTGAAATATTTCACTGATCAACGGCCACTTCCCTCAGTCATTGCTCTATACCACCTGCCATAACCCAGAAGCACTGAAATGGTATTATGGACTTACTATGGACTCGTTCCTGGCCTTGGTGTTGACAAAGTCCACATCCATGCCCTTCTCTTTGCCAGGGACTGGCAGGTAGTTGTCACTCCTCCTCATCATAGCGGGCTCCTGCTGCGGGCAGTGCTCACAAGCAAGGGGAGGAGAACCTGGGAAAGGAACAGAGAGATGAATTTAGCATCATTTGTGTTTTTATAAGATTGTACTGGCCAAGCATGATTTAAAGCCCATAATCTTGTTTCTACTTCCTTTTTTTTCTATATTATAGTACGGAAAAATCCCTGCATGTGTCAAGGGCATAGTCATGCATCTATCCCAACATTCCCATGAGTCCTTACCCATTCTTACTTAGCACAAGCCCCAAACTGAAAGAGGACCTAAACTGATAGTCAGTTGCTTTCAGAAAAAATTAAAATGAAATGGGTTAAAACAATTGGGTTTTTAAAGGACCAGTGTGTATGATTTAGTGGTATCTAGCAGTGGTATTGCAGACACTGGTCAAAGATATGAACAATATGCCAAAGATTGTAGACTGGATCTTTGACAGATTTTATTCACGATATATAATAATACAATGCAATATGATACGATAAGCGTCCTTTTTGTCCAGTGAGGGTGCAACCAACTGGCCTCAATCCCCCCCTCCAAGCATGGAGGAGAAACTATGGTGGCCAACAGTGGTTCAACATGGCAGACTCTATAGAGGAGGACCCGTTCCCTCTGTAGATAAAAATTGCTCATTCTGAGCTAACAAAAACACAAAGATTTTTATTTTCAGGTGATTATACACTAATGAAAACATACCTATACATATTATATTCCAATTCTGCCATTAAAGCCTCGTAAATGTTATACACAGAACTTTAAGCAGCACAGACACATCACGGTACATACGACAGAAGTCCGTCAGGGCTCAGACCAAGTCCAGAGGGTGCACATTTGGATTCAGGCTCTGAGCCGGAGTAGAGTCCCTTTCCCAAACCAACCCCCTCACTACACAATATGTCTTCATATGAAGCCACACTCACAGCTGTGGAAGGCTCTGTGCATCAAGGAAGAGTAAAAATAAACAGATAAACTGCGGGATGTACTAGCCACCATTAACAGGAAACAGCTGTCACCATGGATACTGATAGATGCCTTGCTAGCTCAAGTGTTGTGTTGTATTACGAGCTGTTCCTCTGTAAAGGTATAGTATCCACTTGTAGTCCAGTGATCCAGCTGTCATGACCAGTTTGATGTCATTACTGAGGCAGTATGAGTATTCTCCTTAGGGAGCACAAATTACATTTTAACAAGAGCTTACTCAGTGCGTACTGCAGCTCTGACCAAAGAGGAAACGTATTAAACACAGACACAGCATATGCTGCAAACACACAGTTCATTATCGGTTTCCCACAACTGTGTTGGATATTGTTCATTAAAGCTAAGGACGGATCGTCATAAAGAATACAATTTAATGTGTCACCTGATAACTGCTTATTACAGACTGCATGACACAACTGCATTAGCTGTTTTTTCAGTGTTTTCAGTGTTTAAAAATGTAAATATCATTAGATATTCTGTGATGCACTGTGTGTTCTATCACCTTTCTATCAGAACCAGCATTAACTGTTTCA